GAGGACTTTACTTATACAGCAGTTTCTTCGACCTAATGTCTTCAGCAAACGACACGCTGAGGTCTTTTGACCATGGACTAATTACGAATAGTCACGTGATTTTGCGCCAGCATAACAATCTACAGTGGCTTTCGAGCGTTTCCTACTATCTTTTTTATGTAGCCGTACAGGTTTTCTTACGTAAGCTTGGAAGTGTGTTTTGATGCCACTGCGTCATACGTCGTAAATACTGCTACTCCAGAGCTATATTGTACATTCCTGGATACGCAGCCCTATTAAGAGGTTATCGAATTAAGCTACCTTTTATACTTGTTCTTATTTTCTCCATATTCACTTGAAAACAAATACAGCAGCTGAGGCCAGCTTATTGGCTATGGTCTGAACAGTTGCTCCAGTAACTGTAAAATAATGCGAGTATTGCAGTAATTTTGCTCTTATCGTGTACAGCGATTAACCGAGGCTCAGACTAGCAATATTTAGGCTCTAGTACTGGTTTTTACTTTTGGCTGCGATTAAAGTCATTTGAGTTTGGCTCTCGAGGTCATCCGTTAACCAGATATGGTTGCTATATTTTACGCTTATGATTCCCAGCTAAAGACTCCGAATTGCCGACGGCTTTTCGAAAAGCTATACACGTCTTTGTTAAATTTTGTTTCCGCTAGCCTTCATTATCACTCTCTTTTTTCGGCCATTCTGATGCCACCCTCATTATCTCTTTCCGTGAGCCCACCATTTATTGAGACCAGTAATTTAGCGAAAATGGCCGATAAAACTGGAATGAATAGCCTTGAATGATGGTTCTTACAACGCTGGCGTGCGGTGCTTAGAAGGTGCACGAACGGGCCTTTGTGGAATGAAACTTAGCCGATAATATTGAACCGAATGAGGATCGACTGTGTACTCCAGCTACTATATCACGCAACGCGTTGAAGCCTGCGCATAATTTGCCGGCAGCCTAAGTAATCTACTATTAAACTACTGCGGACCACAAAACCGTTTCCGCCGTCCTGGCGCAGTACTCAGGACCAAAGAGTTCGTAATCATATCTCCACTTTTATTCATACAAGAGCATGTGATTATTGTACCTAATGACTTCACCCCTCAAGGGCATAGCTTCTAGGCAAGTCTGGAAATATACCTTTATTCATTTATGTATGTACGTACTGTGCCAGCATTGCACTTTCCACCAAGAAACGTGCCTGTTGTGCAACCGCCTTCTATACATTCCTGAGCATAACTACTTTGATGTGCCTCGAGGCATTCGAGAACCAACAAATCATTTAGTTATTTAGATATTTAGTCGACACAAAAGGGAATCAAGCTGGTTGAGAATTATTTCGCAGATTGGCCAGTGATCATTGGAGCGATAGAAGACAACTTCGCTGGATTCCATACATGGCATATTTGTCCTAAGAAAGTGGCTCTTAAACAAGTTTACCGGGCTCTGTCCTGTGTTCGAACGAGATGCGTTTCTGTAATGCCTTAATGTGTTGTAAATGCCACTGCCAAGCTCCACAAACATAACTGGTTTGAGGGAAGCGACGGCACCTCAGAAAACACGCAAAATATCTTCTGCGACACAATTGGATGGGAGTGCCGTGGAGTAGGGTAGAGAAGGCGGTGGAGCACCCCGTTTAACCACTTATAAACCATTTTAGCACTGAAATGGCTACCGTTGTCCGAAATAAATACAGTGAGTACTCGTTCGCGACTAAAAGACTTGCGGAGAGCGATGATATTGAAGTCTGCATTGGCAGATGTGGTAAAGTGTACTTATGGCTAACGTGAAAATGAATCAAGTATTATTAATGCGTAATGGTTTTACAAAAATGTAGCACTATTGTCAGCATGTACGCGTTGACTGGCATCACATGGCCGGGCCACGGCATCCATTTCTGGATACTGGAACGGAGATGGTGCGAGCGGCTGGAACAGCTCTTTTCTGTGAGGAGAACGTCAGCGTAGAGCTCTGGCCACCAGCAGGTCAACCTCGACAAATCCTTCATTTTTTCTTCACTTGTCTAGCCAGTGTGCTTTTCATACCACACAGCAGGTCGTGGTGTAGGAGGAACAACAATTTGACCTTGAAAACACAAACATTCCTTCCTAGTATCACAGACCAACCGGGAGCGGCTGTTCGGAAGCGGTGGTTTAAAGGCACGCTGAATAATCAGCTTCAACAGAATTGGCACATTGTGATAAACAAGCAACGTGCGGAAAATGCTTAGCACGACAGGTTTGCACGTTATACAATTATGAGGCATGCGCAATGCTCCATCATTGTACAATTGCTGTGGAAGATTAAGTCAAAGAAGCGTAGGAATAAAAAATGATATGCAGTGCATCATTGTCACAAACATTGTAAGATTTTTGCCAGCCAGATAGTTGCCTAGGCGTGAGACTTCCCAATACACTGCTAGAGCTACTAGCATTGTTTGGGCTTATCCACGTTCAGCTGGGCTGAGGCGTTTGTGAACACACGATACGGGACGCCTATTTTGTTCTAGTGCTGCCTCCATACCAGTATGCGATGCGTCTGTAGCAACGGTTGTTTGATTGTGGTAGAACAGGGATTAACGTAGCAAACGTGAAGAACAATGTAAGCAACTTACACAGTTCATCCGCATGAACTTGAGACCACGCGAAGGTTATCTGCGATGGTATTTCAAGCAGCGGCAGCGCCTTTGCGGTGAAGTTTGGAAGAAAGCTGGAGTAGTAATACAATGCTCCTATCAGTATACCAAAATGGTCTAACTTCTTCGGTGTAGTAACTTTGGACGGCAGGAAGCAGCGATCATGGTCTGAAAAAGACACTTTCGTCAACCAAGTAACCGAGACAAGAGAAGGTGGTTGAAACGGAATTTCGCTTCTATGGGTTAACGGTCATTAAATAAAAAATCTTTTTAATAGTGCACTAAGTCTCTAGTAGAATGGGATTCGTAGACGCATGTACGTTGACATCATTGTGACATATTAAAAGACCGGTCAATCCGCCGGTCACAGAATTCGAAACATCTTGGAAAACCGCAGGTGACGCATTAAGTATAAATGACAAAAGGTTGTAACACAATAGACCAAATGGCGGATTGATTGTGGTAGAGGGCAAGACTTTTCATCAAGAGGAATCCGCAATCACGCGTCTTTCATGCCGATCTTCGGAAAGCACTTGTAGCCGCTCAACCTTGGAAGGATATCTTCGAGCTTAGCAGTAGTGCAGCATCTTGGCAACGGGCATTTGTGTAGCGTAGCGTGTTTGTCACCACTAATTCTAGAGCATTACGATCGGGTTTAAAAGAAATGACGATTTGTGTGGCCCAAGCGAAGGTATGAAGTGGCGAAATTATGCCTAGTTCAGAGAGGTTGTCTAATGTGTTCATCACAGGCTCCCCAAAACTAAATGTAATGGTTCGTCTATTTCCAAACAGAGAAGTGCCTTGAACATCAAGCATGAAATGTTCAAGACGCATGTCACCTGAAGCGTTAGAACCTTTTATGACGAGCGAAAGAAGTCTTCATTGGAATGTGTCAGAAAGCCAATAAAACAAAATATTCAAATATTTCGCGCGGTTCACGCCTATGCTGAATGAACCAGATTCCGTGACAAAAATTTACACTTGCATGGGTTAGACTAACCTTTTTACAGGAAACCAGAATAGAAATTTAATGCTCAGTATTCCTTCTATCAGGAACAGGAGTTGATCTTAATCGAACGTCGGTGATAAGACTATTAAACTAGAACTTATGAATAAATGACTCTACGCTACCGGTATCTACGATGTAGGCAAGTTGTGATATCCGATTCAAAAGAGGTTGTTTTGTATGGTGAAAATACTGAGCAGCGCAACATACGGCGATAGCAGTGGGCTGGAACGCAGTTGACAGAGCCGGCTCGCCTGGTGCTTAGTGCACTTAACGACTATTTGCACTTCGACAAACAAATTGAAGATGACCAAGCCTTCCGCACCAATAACCCTTGGAATCGCGGAACCTGTAAGTCAATCGAGAATGTTTGCACCCGCAAGGCTTATAATCGTTCAAACGATATTCACAAGTAGTAACACCTTTCTTATGTAAGCCTTCGTGATTAGCAGGCATTTTAAGTTCCAGCAGCTGTTGGTTAGAAGGTTGCACCACACTGTCAGTGTTCAAGTCAAATCAGCCAAGTGATCAATGCGCTTTGTGCACCTATGAAGTATGAGAAATCAGCTACGTATAACATGGTTCACCACCGCACTCACATCTTGAAATTGCCTGCAGAAGGCGTTGCCGAATTGAAAGGAGGGATTTGGTATAACTAATGACCCCTGATCCAGGCTAGAATGATTGGTTACGGACACAAAACTTTCAAAGTTGGATAAGCAACTGGTCGCCCAGCTGCAGCGAGCAAACATTGTAACATGAACACGAATATCCTGGTTATCCTTTCGCATTGGCATGTGAAAATTAGTCCTTTCAGCTGCTTCAAAGTTCAAATGTGTCGAACATGTTCCAGCAGCAGCTTTTTGTTGTATCATGACAGCGAAATTGGTGTGTCAGGAAAAACAGGTTATTCAAAGTGAGTAAGCATCCTGCCAATGGCAGTATGAAACGGAGCGGCATTCATCACTTTGCGAACCTTGACTAAGAATGCACCAATTTACAACCGAGAGCAAGGGTGGACATCCAGAATAACCAAGTTGCATAGGTCCAGGAGTAAAAATGGCTGTCCGCGCCGGTGCCTGTGGGATATTAGATAGTAACCGTAAGCGGAATGGCTTAGGCTAAAACCGAGCACAAACGCCGACACAGATTTACTATCGCTCGCTGAGGGCACAGAAATAGTATGGTAAATTTGAAAATTTGCAAAGTTCGAAAACAGTTAAACAATAAGGGTACAATATCGATTATTACAACCACTACAAAAATATTGCAAGCAGCTGTGAAGCATACACTTAGTAACCTTCGTAAAACCTTGATAAAACACGCTAACGCTCTTTACCGAACAAGTTGAGCTGTCTTTTAATGGTCTAGGTAAAAGAGTTGATAGCCATATTTTTGTTTCTGTAATGAATTTGTTATTTAGTTTATTAGATTAGGTTTAGCAGGCAGTCGGTGTTTTTGAGTGTGTTTGTTTCAACCCGTTCGCCAGGAAATCGTCACTGTTTTTTCCCGCCGCTCTATCTATTAGAATGTCGCGTCGCTATGCTTTCCGTGGTGCGGACTTGCGCGGTTTATCGTCTTTCGGTGCTATGTTGGTTATCATATGTGACGTTCACACCTTGTTTATAGAGACAAGAATGTTCAAATCCACCTGAAGAACGTTTACTCTACGCTGTGTATCGGGTTCATCTCTGCCTTCGTCGCCGCCTACGCCTACCAAGTAGTTAACATATTGCAGGTCAGCAAATTCTGTATATTATGGCTGTTATTCGATCTAAAGCTTTACTTATTCTTTATATGTTTCAATTGACTGGCTAGGTTCATGTACGCAATCTTAAACCCACTCGACCTCTCTGAGCTTCCCAGGATGGCACAAGAAAGCGCAGGTATCAATGAAATCCTTGTTTGTTTACAGGCAGGGGTTAGTGGAGTACAAGCAGGTCTTGCGGACCCTAATAGCACCGTCGGACGGTCAACTGTGCGATTTCCACCTGCTTCCGGTTTGATATCGGTGTGTGGAATTCGAAAAGCAGTTAGCATGATAAGTACATCGTATGCTGCCTGAGCGATCCTAATTATGCAGCAGCGTATGACGAATTTGCGCGTAGATGGCTACATGTATGACTATTACGGGTTTTTGGTGTCCGATATAAGAGTGAATACGTAGGAAGATAACGAGGGCTATAAAGTCCGAAAATACTTTCATAGCACCACCGGACAGTCAGCTTTCCGAGTTCCGTCCACTTCTTGTCTGAAGATCTTTAAGGACAGCGTTTTCCTCAAATGCACTTGACGCCGTTGACCGCTGTGCCGCATGCTCCCTAAACGATAAGCAATACGCAGCAACGTATAACAAAGGGTTTGTGTGTAAATGGCTACATGTGTGCACAAGTACTGCGAGTTTTTCTTAATATCCGCTTTTCGTCTAATGTCGGGTGAAATCCGTGTGTAGGAAACTAGAGCTTTTAAGTCAGCAAGTGTTACAGATAAACCAACCCTGCCTGGCGCTTTTACCACAGCTAAATTATTATCTAGTTCGAATAGGTCCAACACAATACCTGTTTTCTACCTCAAAGTTGTTACAGGGCACTGTAAAGGAATTCCGTAGATTTCTTCAATGTTAGATGCTACTTGAACAATTGGTAAGAGGCAGCAATCATTAGGAAAGGGAATTGAGGATCGATAGAAAAACTGTGTGCTGACTATTGTCGAATTTTTGACTGCCCACTTTTCGTCCTGGACTTGTCCCGTCATAGAAATCGGACAGAAATCAGTTAAATTCAAGTTCAAGCGGGACTGAAATGAGGATTATCCCTTGAGTGTTTCTTCTTCAGCGGGTCCTTGAACCAGGAGTTGGCAGACTTTAAACTACTGATGGACCTAAAACAAAGACCGCATCACACCCTGTTCAACCAATTACTATCCCCTTATCCTGCCGTAGCAGTTCCTGCTGGGCCGGTTACGTGAAGTAAAGACGAGAAAAAGTGAACTCCCACGGCGAAAAGAGAAAGTGTAAAGAGCTAAGCAAGTAGAATGCCAAGATATTTGAGTAATTATAAAAGAACTGAAGTGAAGATGAGTCAGGAAAAAGGAAAGGTTTGGTGTTGCCTCCCAAGAGCATCGAGTTGGCGCGCAAAACCCTTAACTGTAGGTTTCCTAACCACGTGATTTGGAAGCCAATTTCAGCGATCTGTAACTCCTAATCCTATCAGACCGTGGTTTATGCAGTTCCACTGGGTGACCACGATTAGGTAACGCAGCGGGACTAAGTAGTCCTGACAAGTCCGGGCCGCTCTTACCTGTTAAAATACGATAAGTAAGCATCAGGTCCCCTCTTATCTTTCAGTAGTGCATTGAGTACATCCCCGAACGGACACTCGTGGTATCCGGGAAGCAATACGCAGATGCAAAATTCGTGCTTAGCATTGCTCATCACATTGTCTCAGTATCCCGTTCGGACAGTTCAAGCACCATTCACTGGTAGTTGTACACTATCTGTTTTGATCCCTATTACACTGCGGCTAAAATCTTGTCTACTGACTTGCTGCTGTCTCATACGCCCAAATGTTTGTAGTCCGTCGTGTCCGACTTTATTTTTGATGCCCGCGCTCGGTTACGCGCATTTTCTCGGACTATTTTTTTACTTACATGTAACATGTGTTAGGCTCTGTACTGAGACCACGGCCGTTCATTGTGTCCCTAGGCGACCTCGCGAATGTGCTGACATGCAGCTTTCTACTCTGCGTACAGTCTCAATATTTGGCGAACAATCAAGCTAGTTGACGGACACAACATTTCAAGGTGACCCCAACGGGGGTTACGAGTGGTTAGCTCAAAACATGCTTGAGTTCAACCCCGTCTAATGCGAAAAATAAGCATACGCCACTAAAGCAGCAATCAACGGCGACTAAAACATCACTTTCTGCAGTACGGTTCTCATGAGGTCGTTCTTGGAGTGCTCGTGCAGCACGATCTCGGATGCTCAGAACAAGCCGAGAAGGCAGTGAAAAAACCAACCAACACTTGAACCTACTGCTTAAGACGTTCGGCCGATTTGATCCTGCCTTCGTTTCGCAAATGCTCAACGCTTACATGTGGCCGCACGATGGGTATGACAAAATTGCAAAAGAATCGCGTCACCTCCCTTACAAGTCTATACTAGACTGAGTCATCATCATCATTGTGCACCCTAGCTGCCGGTGGACATCCCAGCTATTGGAGTTTTCGTAGTTTTCGTCTTCTGCAAACTGGTGTATCAGATTTTCAATGCTCCTAACCATCCATGCCGACCCTTATTGAAACAGCCGCAACGTTACACTGTTTAGATCCCCGTTGTGATAGCGGTGAGCTGTTGCTACACCTATTTAAAAATGCTAATCTTTCGACAGCATCCGCCTCAAACCAACCATTGAGTGGTATAAAGCAGAAGCGAGGTCCCTTGTCAGTGCTTTCACTTTCCAAGGATTGTAGGTGTGGTTGCTTTGGATGTAGTATCAGTTCTGCAGGATCCTGGAGTACTCAGTAAGTAGGTGTCAAGCAAACGTTTGAAGCCATTCAGCTGTCTCCTTTTTCCGGACCCATTCCCACTAGGTGATGCAGGCTGATCCGTTTCCGATTTGTTTGGAGGCTCCATGCTGGTTCGTAGCCTTATGTATCGCAATCCTTGTACTTTGAGAGCGTGGGTTCCAGCCTGGGTAGGCCATCGGGTGACCTTTGCAGTATCCTTTGCCCACTCAAGACTGGTGATGGTTGCGCGGCGGCATAGCGTAAGTACTACGTACCGGCGTACTGCTGATGTCTTTCTTTTCTTTTGAAGGCTACATCAGAGACAGATCCCAAACGCGCCCACAGCTCTTAATAGCTCTCGAGCTGCTGGCCTGGATTCCCTCACATATGCCCTATTTAATGACGAAAGCGCACCAGCCGAGAGCTAGAATAGTTGTTTATCATGAACTAAGTAAATAAAGGCAAGTGGATGCACACGGCACGGTGGAAGCTACCAAGTTCAACAGCAGCGTGATTGAATGCCAGGGATGGGACGGGAGCCCTTGTCTTGATCTGGTTATTTTAACGAACGTCGACAGGCGAATCAAATTGGTTGGCGAAGATCGATACCGCCATCGTCGCGAACTACCGGGATACCCACGAAATAATCACACTTGTGATTACATTTCGACTTGTTTCTATCCGGAACAAGGTAACAACATTCAGGAATACCCACTATTTTAGCAACTACTCGTGTAACTTCTATTATGTATTGATTTCAGAAACCACTTGACTTTTACCATACGGTTTGGCAAGCAAGCTGTTAATTTTACCAGTTTCTCGACCTTTTATAGAAGCCGAAGACCATTGAGCTACCTATAAATTTGCCGAAGGTCTGACGTAGTGCTACTTCTTGGCTGCTATTTGGTTAACTTTTTTCTCCGTCATTTTTCTTCTGCTGGGCTAGAAGTCTTGCGGCGAATTTTTGGTGTTTAAATCGGAGTAGCCAGAAAACAATGGTGGCGGACAAACACGGAAATGTGACGAACATTTCCGCTGAACATTTTCAAACGCTATTTCTTCAGCAACAATCCCATCTAGAAGCACATATGAAACTGATGAAAGTTTGGTGCAGTGCTTGGATGTACAATCAAACAGAGCAGCTACGCGTTACACGTAGGCCGTTTTATTTGATCTTAAGAATCCAGCCACTGAATTTCATTACAATGCTGATTCCGACTACACTTTCAGGGCGTGATTCTAACGCTGGGAGGACATGTTCCGGACGGATTTCAACCGTCAGAATGATTTATGGAAAGTGCGTCTTTTGCTCCGCAATCTCGGTACCAATAAACATTGAAGATTTGTCGACCACATCTTGCCGAAAGAGCCGAAGCACATCACTTTTAACGAAGCACTGGCACTGCTTAGGGGAGTCGACGTCTTTGTTTAGCACTCGCTACCCATGTCTAATAATCGTTAAACGGGATCCGGACGGTTCTGCGGCACTCACTAACTTGGATGTGAACGTTTCAAGTTACGCTCTTTGACGGATGACCAGCTTAAGTGTCTCATTTGTCAGTACTTTACAGTCCCCAAGCTTTCTGTTCCTTACTAAGTTGCATCAAGACCCCCTACTGACATCGAAGTCTCTCGTAGGCGTATGCAAACGGTTGATCACTTTGAAACATGACGCCGTTATGATTGAGCAAAGTCGCCCCACCATTGCCGATATTGTACATATTGTGCAAAAGGCAAGAAAGGCTAGCTGGAACAAGCCGCCTACACCTTGTTGGTCCTGGGATGAATGGCATTTGTGATGTGCCATAAACGCGGCCACAAAGCAGATTTTTGCCATCAATCTCGGCCAAGAAACGTGAGGCAGTCCTATCGAATGGATGGAAGAAGAGGCGGGGTGGCCAATCGATGACTTGGTCCAGAGGGATTAAGGCCCTCACTTCTGAGCTGGCTTCGCTTGGAGCGTCTCGGCTCCTTGGTTGGGGTCCGAAAGACGATGAACATGTTTGGTTTGACACACTTGCTGATATGGCTAGGAGCCGACCTCAGTGGCGTTCGTGCTGTGAGTTTCTTTGTCCCACCCCATCCCGCTTAGCCTCCCCCTCCAACCACGATCTCATTATTTAGCCTTATATAATTTTTTTGGGTGCACAACAGTCGGCTGGTAGCTAACCGGAACGATGCCCATCCGTTACTGGTAGCTCAGCCAGCTTGTACCAGTTGCTTTTTTTCCTC